TTGCGCCGGCGCCAGCGGCGACCTCAGCATCGATGCCAGCAGCAACTCCTGAGCCTATACGGGGCCACCAGCGCCAGCACCCGCAGAAGCGCTGACGCCAGCACCGACGCCAGCACCAACGCCGGCACTTACGCCAGTACGATTGCCAGCGCTTACGCCAGCACCGACGCCAACTTCGACGCCAGCCCAAACACTGGCGCCTACGCCAGCGCCGACGTCAGCACTAACGCCACCCTCAACGCCTGCGATCGCGCAGGCAACAGCGCTAGCGCCTGCACCAACGACGTCGCCAGCACCTACCCCAGCACCAATGCCAACGTATGCCACCATCTGCGCCAGCGTCTAGACCGACGCCGACGCCAGCACCGACTTCAGCACCAACGTCAACCAGCACAGCCAGTCAGCCACGCCACGGCCGCCTCAGCAGCGCGAGGACGGCCGGGACACTCAATCGTGCCCAGCTCTGAGGCTCTGGAGTGCTCTGGATGGGGTGGGGTGGGGATTGGTGACGTGTCGTCTTTCTGTTTCCTGCAGGCTTCCTTGCCCTCAGGACCATACGTCGCCTCGGTATCCAGCATTATGGAGTCGGGCACTGCCACTACGTCCACCACATCGGCCTCGAGACCCACGTCTCTGAAGACAAGGTGCAGAACTTCATAGCTAAGGAGATGCCGTGTGCTGGTTGAGTGAGTGATTGAGTGAGTAGGTTAGCTCCCTTCGTCTTCCTTTTGCTTCTCCCCCTGCTCCTTCTTCTGTCTTTCACGCTGTCCTCCGCCCCCGCTTGTTTGCTGCTTTGTATTGCATGCCCGTCCTAGTTTTAGTTAGTTGTTTTTCTTCACCCGCACCGCCCCCTCATCTTGGCGGGGAGGCCGCGTCCTCCGCCCTGGGGGCGTCAGGGGCGGTTTGCTCTCAGAGCTTCCCGTCCCCCTGCACCTCCCATGTGCGGATCCACAGTCCCTTCAGTCTTACCCTGCGCGCTCTCGTTTCCCTTCTCTCTCATCCTCCCCTTTCTTTCTCCGCTCGTGTGGGTCCTATGTGCGCGCACCCTGGGCGAAGCCCCAGTTGGTCTTCGCATTCGCGAGCTTGGCTCCCTCGCTCCTCCTATCCCTCCTTGCGCGCCCGCGGGCTTTCCATTTTCGGTCTCACGGCCCAGCTCCAGCCGAGCTTCGTCCAACGTGCTGCAACCATCTTGCTGCGGTCACGTCGCCCCGTTTGTTCCCCCTCCTTTCCGTCCTCCTTCCCCCTCTCCCCGCGCGGCCTCCCTCACAGAATTTCGGCCACGTTCGCAGGGCAAACCTGCGCGTCCTGTGCCGTTGCCGGTTTTTGCCCGCTGCTTATTTATGTGAGCCGTGCGTGGGGGTCAGAAAAGCCTCCTCGAGGGGCAGCGGATTCTTGAGAGATGGAGTCGTTTGCAGGGGAAAAATTCTCTTTCTCCCTCGTGCTCCATCCTCCTCTCTCCCCCTTGTCCCTGCCTTCCTTCCTCCCTTACTTTCCTGACTTAGGGGCTGCACGAAACACGCGTTGCAGGTAAGAGAGGTAGACCCCTAAGGGGGCACGATCGAAGACGAAAAGGGCCGGTGTCAAGGCGTTGGGGTCTACGTCTTGAATGGCACGCGATCAGGTTAAGAACGAACTGTCTTAATATGATTATTGTTATTGTCGTTGTCGCTGTTGTTGTTGTCGTCATCGTTGTTGTCGCCGTCGTCCTTGTTGTTGTAGTTGTTGTTGTTGTCGTTGTTGCTGTTGCTGTTGTTGTTGTTGTTGCTTTCGTTTTGTTGTTGCTGATGTGGTTGTGTTTGTGTTTGTTGTTGAAGTCTTATTACGTCTGAAGAACAAGTATTGTTGATCCCCCCTCGGCGCACAGTGCAGTCTTTCCAATCGAAGTGCCGCTCCCAGGGCGCTAATCTTGCTTTTTGACAGGGCAAGTCTTGAGGGTCAAACAGGGTCCCTGGCCCCGGATTAAAGCAACAACGGATCCCTCCTGATACTTCCTCACAATGTCTTGAAAGATCAGGTTTTCGCTGGAGACTTCTTTGACATCTACTCAGGAATTGCGCTCTCTCTTAAGATTGCCCCACAATGTATTCAGACGCCACTCTTCAATCATCAGGAATCGCGCTCTCGATTTGGACCTCCTCACGGTTTGCTTGAGAGTCGCGCTCTCGCTTGAGAAATCCTTGCGGTTCAAGCCGGATTCACGTTTCAGCGACCCGCCGCTCGACCCGCCCGTCGGGGCCCGCCTGCCTGACCCGTCCATCATGGACTGCAGTCGCCGTTTGCTGCCATTCGCCCGCCTTCGATGCCCCTCGCTGCACGTAGTGGTTCCGCTGTCGCCTTCGCTCGCGCCCTGCGTGGCCCCGTCGCTGCCGTTTGTGGCCCCGCATTGTTCACTCTTCGTGGCCCCCGCTCGCTCGCGCCCGTCGTGGCCCCATATGTATGCCCTTCTTGGCCCATTGTCGCCATTCGCGGCCTCCTCGCTGCCCTCAGTGGTCCGTTTACTGCCCTTCGTGGCCCCGCTGTCGCCCTCTGTGGCCCCATATGCGTATGCCCTTCGTGGCCCCCGCTCGCTCGCGCCCGTCGCGGACCCATCTGAGGCGTTCTAGAAAAACCGTGCCTTCGAGGATCGAAGGAGTTGTCATCTCTTCCTCGGCGAAGGGCGGCGGAAGGGCGGCGGAAGGTCGGCGGACGTAAAACGAGGCCGCCCCCGCTGGCGGAAGCCGGCGGCTGGCTGGCGGAAGGCGGCGGAATTTAAAAGTTGACCTCCAAGAGGTGACAACATTTTTGGGTTCAGGGCTGCCGAAATCGCCCATGTGCATGCCTTTCGTGGCCACGCTGTCGCCCTTTGTGGCCCCATATGCGTATGCCCTTCGTGGCTCCCGCTCGCTCGCGCCCGTCATGGCCCCATATGCATGCCCTTCGTGGCTCCGCTTTTCGCCCTCCGCGGCCCCCTCGCTGCTCTCAGTGGTCCCTTCGCTGCCCTCTGTGGCCCTGCTGTCGCCCTCTGTGGCCCCATATGCGTATGCCCTTCGTGGCCCCCGCTCGCTCGCGCCCGTCGCGGCCGCGTATGCGTGCCCTTCGTGGCCCTGCTGTCGCCCTCTGTGGCCCCTTCGCTGCCCTTCGTGGCCACGTTGCTGCTCTCAGTGGTCCCTTCGCTGCCCTCTGTGGCCCCGCATGTACATTCCCTTCGTGGCCCCCGCTCGCTCGCGCCCGTCGCGGCCCCAGTGCTACCCTTCGTGGCCCCATATGCATGCCCTTCGTGGCCCCGCTGTCGCCCTTTGTGGCCCCCCCGCTGCCCTTCGTAGCCCCTTGCTGCCCTCAGTGGCCCCGTCATTACCCTTTGTGGCCCCATCTGCGTATGCCTTTCGCGGCCCCCGCTTGCTCGCGCCCTTCATGGCCCCCTCGCTGCCCTTCGTGGCCCCGCTGTCGCCCTCCTATCCCCCTGGCCCGGTTGTTCTGTCACGTGTTTTCTGTTCCTAGCCCCTCTCCTGCTAATCGCGTGCTCCATCCTTTTCCCTGCCCCTTCCATCCGTCCTCTCTTCTCCTGCCTTAGGGGCTGCAGCAATCACACGCGGCAGATACCGAAGACATACCCCCAGGGGAATACGACGGAAGACGAAGAGCTTGGGTACCAAGGGTTTGGGATTGGGATAGATGTGTTGAATTGCACGCGAGCAGATCCGAGCGAACAGACTTACCATGATTGTTGTTGCTGTCGTTGTCGTCCTTGCTGCTGTTGTTGTTGCTGTTGCTGTTGTTGTTGCTGGTGTTGTTATTCGTGTTGTTGTTGTGGTTGTTGTTGTTGATCTTGTCGTTGCTGTTGGTGGTGGTGAGGATGATGCTGATTGTTGTGATGATGGTGGTGATGATTATGATTATGCTGTCGTAGATGATGTTGTCAGTTTGATGATGGCGGTAATAATGGCGATCCTGGCGCTGATTTGGAGACGATTGCGATGGTGATTATGACAATGATGGGGATGGTGGTGGTGGTGATGAGGACGAAGCTGATTATGCTGATGATGGTGATGATGCCGTTGATGATGATGCTGGTTGTGATGGTGATGATACTGCTGATTATGATGACGATGATGATGACGAGGATTCGGATGCTGATGATGCTGCTGATGATGATGCTGATCATGCTGCTGCCAATGATGATGACGACGACGATGATGATGATGATGATAAGCATGATGCTGATGCTGATGCTGATGATGTGGCTGATGATGATGCTGATGATGAGGAGGAGGAGGATGTTCATGAGGGTGATGATGATGCTGCTGATGATGATTATGATGATGATGGTGCTGATGGTGATGATGACGACGATGACGATGATGACGATGGTGATGGTGGTGATGATGATGCTGCTGATGATGATGCTGATGCTGATTACGATGATGACGGTGGTGATGATGATGGCTGGTGATGCTGATAATGTTGATGGCTGCTTCTGCTGCTGGTGATGATGCTGATGCTGGTGATGGTCATGATGATGATGGATGTTGATGATGATGTTGTTGTTGATGATGATGCTGATGACGATGATGGTGGTGATGGTGGTGCTGATGCTGATGCTGATGCTGATGCTGATGATTATGCTGATGCTGATGATTATGCTGATGATGATGAGGATGATGATGATGATGCGGATGATGATGATGATGATGATGCTGATGATGTTCATGATGATGATGATGATGATGAAGAGGATGACGATGATGATGATGATGCTGATGGTGATGATGATTATGATGATGATGATGATGATGATGATGATGATGATGATGATGATGATGATGATGATGATGATGATGATGATGAGTATGGTGGTGCAGGTGCGGAGGAGGGGGAAAAGGAGGAGGAGGAGGAGGAGCAGGAGGAGCATGAGGAGGAGGAGGACTGAGGAGGAGGCTCTCCCTCCCTGTCTCCTCGCTCCCCCCCCTTGAGCAGAGAAGAGGTCGCGCGCGCGCGTGCCCGCTCAGCCGAGCTCTCGAGCCGCCCGACTTGCCCCCCCGCCTGGCGCGCGCCAGTGCCGCCGCGAGCGCAGATCTGGCCCCGGCGGCGGAGGGCAGTCGGGCTGGCCCACGCCTCCTGGACCATTTTACACGGTGCAGGTGCTCTGTCGTTTGGCACGGCGAGCGAGCGAGGTATGGGGGAGGGAGGAGGCGGGGATGACGAGGAGGAGGAGGAGGATGATGTTGATGATGATGCTGATGATGATGATAATGTTGATGCTGATGCTGCTGATGATGATGATTATGATGGTGGTGGTGATGATGATGATGACGATGATGGTGATGATGATGATGATGATGATGATGATGATGATGACGATGATGATGCTGATGATGAGAAGGAGGAGGAGGAGGAGAAGGAGAAGGAGTGAGTGGAGGAGAAGATGGAGGGGGTGGAGGACAAGGAAACATCACGACACAGGAGGAATATGATCAGCAGCATCAGGAGTAATATGATAGGAGAGGTCGAGGGGGAGGAGGCCGAGGGGACGGGCTACCGAGAGGGGGAAGAAGAGCCAGGATAAGCAGAAGCAGAATGAGCAGGATGAAGAGGCGGAGAAGGCGGAGGAGGAGAAGGAGGAAGAGGAGGAGCAGAAGCAAGAGACGAGGAGAGTCAACACAGGGTTTGTCAACGTTGCTGCAATGGTTCCTCCCCCCCGCCCACTACGGCGAGCGTCCGCTCGAAAGACGACCGCCCCATGGGGCTACCATTCGGGCCAGGGCCCCGTTTTGAAAAAGAGCAACCCCACCCTGGAGAGTAGCAGAAGTGTCGAGATGTGTGACCACAAGGATTTGTCTTTGCCTCGTCCTTCTCCGCGGTTGGCCAGTGGCGCCCACGCGCGCCATATGAACGACGCAGAAAACGGATTCGACTGTGTCGACATTCGCGCGTTAGTTGCCCGCATAAGGTTGCGCGTGAGCGCCCCCCCTCGTGTCCAACGCAGCGTGCCGCGTTGGCGGCCCGCGTAAGCCACCGCGTGAGGTCGCTATGCCATCTCGCGTAGGACTCGTTTTTTGCTCGTCGTTCATACTGCCCTGCCACATCCAGTCCATAGGCGAATGGGAAAGTGTTGCGGCGTGGGGGTAGAGGGGGGGGATACAACCCACCGCGAAGGGGAAAAAGGGGGTTCGAAAGATTTGGAGCGCTGGTCACACACACTCCCAGAGGGCTGGTGGGAACTTTGTGTCTTGGGTGGGCCGCCCTTGAGCTATTCCCAGGACAACCTCCTCTGCCCCCTCCTCCTCCTCCTCCTCCTCCTCCTCCTCCTCCTCCTCCTCCTCCTCCTCCTACGTCATCCTTCTACATCCCTCATCTGGACGGAAGTCGGGATGGATGAGGAGGAGGAGGAGAAGGAGGAGGCCGGAGGGCTGGAGGAAGGAGAGGAGGAGGGAGGGTGGGAGGGTGGGAAGCACGGGGCGGCACCCCGCCGCAGAAAGAGAGAGGCGGCCGCGGCGGCGGTCTTGCTTGGAGTTGCACATCAGGAGGGGGTGCTGCGGGGCGCGCGCGCAGGACGGTGCGCCTTCTTCGCTCGACCCGACCTGCCGCCACTACCCCCCCAATGAAGCAGAGACGCAAACGAGCTTGCAGCGGACTCAGGGCCCAAGGGCTCAGAGGCGTGAAAGGAGCATGAACAGGGGCTACCTGTCCTCTACAGAGCGAAGCGTGCAGCAGTCGCGGCCTAAGATGGGCTCGCGCACGGAACGAGAAGCCGAAGATGTAAGAGAGGACGCCCTTCAGAAGTGCGCTTTGCCTCAGGAGTTTGGAGTAGAATGTGCAGAACTGCCCGAAGTATGTAGCCACTCATTTGGAATTCCGGAGAACATGTGAACGCGGAATGAGACCACCGCGCAATCAGATGAGGAAGCAGCCTATTTCTTCTGTCTGTCTTCTGTAAGGCTGAGGCTGGCTGGCTTGTGATCCGCCATCACCTTTACCACGGCCGAAGGACGCCCTTCGGACCCGCCCGAGACTGTGAAGTATCTGGGGCTGGAAGAGATGACGCTATAAGAGATCTCCCCATGCCTGAGCGTGAGCACTCGCATCATCTGCTGTGTCGGCTCTCAGCGTGCTTGAAGACAGAGCTGCACCGCTGGTGCTGCGATCAGACATTGTACGTCCAGACGGCGAGGGTGAATCAGCGACCGGGCGTAGAGCAGGTGCCAGAGCGAACTCTGCAACGGGACTTCCCCGAGTTCTGCACGTAGGCTGGTTGCACCTGCTGGATGTGGTATGGCCCTACTGCGATGCTGAGGGCCATCAAGAAGATAGGAGGAACCAGAGCTTCATGTGCCGCCTGCTTGGCAGCCCAGCGCTTCTCCTGCTTACGGAAACGTTGGGTTTCGTCGCACAGTTCGAAGATGCTCCAACAATTGAACAGGATCATCGTGCACTTCAGCTTTGCCCTGTCCGCTCGGGGTCCAAATCAACGTCGGACGATATGCTGAGATCAAGCGGGTGCCATCCTTCAGCAGCTGGGTGCTTCCCAGCTATTGCAAGCTGACGGTTGCGTGCGGCTCTGCTGGCAACTTACGAGGTTCATCACAATCCAGCAGCAACAGTTTGGCACACCTGTCGAAATTGCCCGCGCATGGAACCGAACACCATGTGACCTGGTGCCACCAGCAAATGATGGCCCCTCGCATGCACAGGTTCAATCGGTTCGTGCGCTGAGAGTGATGCTGCTGGAACGGTTGCCTGTGTAGGAGTCGGTCGTCTTCTGATGCCGACGCGCCATTTTTTTAGCGGGGGGCCCATCCAAGGGAGGAGCTGATGCATCGGCAACCGTCGACTGCGAAGTACTGCCGTCGGAAGTCCGCCCCTCGACGCGCGAGGTAAACGAAATGCATGGGCAAACGACGCGGGAAAAAGGACCCAATAGGGATCGCATGGTCGGGGCCGCCCCCCTGGTCGTGCTTCAGGCTAGCACCAACCTCCCAGGAGAGCCGACCCTTGTCGCCGCCGATGCCAGTCATAGCACCCTCACCTTCCACCCTGCTCATGGGGAGGGTGGAAGGCGCCAGCGTCGGATCACTGGTATAATTGGTCCCAGGTGGGCCAGCTCCCCCACCAGGAGGGAGCAATTCAGAAGCAGGTCGCTTCTCGCCTGAAGCGTTTGCTTTAGCAGCCCTCAACTCATCAGGTCTAGCGAATCACGTCTGAGACCCCAGGGGATGTCTAGCACTAGCAGCTCTGGCACCGCGCTTTCACAACGTGCGTCGCCACGTCAACTTGCCAGGCTCTTGGCAGAATCTATGGCGCAAATTCACTTTGACCGTCTTGAAGCTGTCCTCTCCACTGCTCGTGCAAACATCCCACCCTCCCACCCGCAACTTGGTCGCAAGACCTCTTAAGACAAGACCGTGACGGTAGGTACAAGATGGCACTTGGCCACGACACCGACGCCGACGACAACGACGACGACGACGACGACGGCGCCGCCGCCGACACCGACGACGACGACACCGACGACGTCTCCAACGACTTCGACGACGACAGCGACCACGACGACGACGCCGACGACACCGACGACGACGACGCCGACGACGACGATGACAACGACGACGACGCCGACGACGATGCCGACGACGACGACGACGAAGACGACGACGACGACGACGACAACGACGTCGCCAACAAAGACGACGACGAGGGAGGAGGGAGGACGACGACGGCGACAACGACGACTACGACGACAACGACGAGGGAGGAGGGAGGACGGCGTCGACGCGAACGACGAAGAAGGAGGAAGGACGGCGACGCCGACGACGACAACGACGAGGGAGGAAGGAAGACGCCGACGACGCAATAGCGCGCACGCTTTTGTTGAAAATCCATGTTGCGAAACCTTTGGTTTTTGTAGGTTTTTTGGACACGCGATTTTGACATCCTTCCGAAACCGCTTGGTTTTCAAGGATTTCGGCATACGCGCGCGACGACGCGCGCGTCTGTACTTCGTCCCTTTTTTTGCAGAGGAGTGTCGCGACGGCACACGCGCAAGGGCGTTCGACAGATTTCGACATGCGCGCGCGCGACGCCCGTTTGGTAGCATGTTGTGACAGTCTTGAAAACCAATGGTTTTCTTAAGATTTCGCCAGGGCTCGCGCGTAAGGTTTTTTTTTAGCAAATCAGTGTTACGAAACCGTGTGTTTTTGTATGTGTTTTTGTTGGGAAACTCGATTGCGACATCCTTCCGGCACCGAAGGCTCTTTTGAAGGATTTCGGCATGCGCGCGCGACGACGCGCGCGTATGCACGTCGTCCCATTTTTGCAAGGGATTCGTGACAACGTGTTATGTTTTTGCTATAAAAAACAAGGGAACCTCAGGGGGGGAACCCGGCTCCCTTAGGATAGTGTAGATTCATAGTTAGGATGGACATGTGGTCAGAAGCGCATTTGATTTACATACCCGAAAGGGGGACCAATAACGCCGGGGGGGGTAGAGTCCATTTTCTTCTTAAGAAGGAGAATCAATCGGGTCAGCCTTCCAGCCAGGCCTTCTCGGACGCTGCACGCGTTTGGCATATTGCTTGGTAAGGATCCAGTACTACCGTGAACCCCTAGGCGCCTACCATGCACTCGAGAAGATTTGTGGGCAATCTGCATGACTTTGATTTTGATCGCCGGCTTTGAGGCGCCGCGGCGATCCCTGCCCCGCGTCGCACCCAGGTCTGCACAACGTTTGCTTCGCGCCTTGAGGGAGGAGCCAGACTGGTGAGCCCTCACATCGACATGGTGCGCTTGAAAGCTGAGTTGCGGGCCCTCATCATCCTCGCAAGGAGGTCCAGAGATATCCCTCTATCTCCGCAATTCTCATCGCAGCCATTGTTGGAGCCACATGCGTTATAGTAGGCGTCGTATAGCTTCGATTCAGTTTCTGATGGGTTCTCGCCGGCAACCCCCGCTCTGCCGAAGCTTCCCGAAGACGCTGAACCGAGGGGGCCTGGGCGAGATCGCGACCCGTCGAGGCTGCGCGCGCCCGCGAGGCAAGCGCATCCCCGGAAACAGTTTTCTATCGGCATGCCGAATGTCATCTCAGCGCCTTGGGCGACAGAGCATCGCCGCGTGGCGCCCGAGATATTACTCCAAGGCTGATTGCTTG